TCCGCAGCGGGAGGCGGCCCCCGCGGTGGTGGCGGCGGGAGAAGGGCCGGGCCTCAGGCGAAACTCAACCGGGGCGGCCCGGACATGGCCGAGTCCCCTAGCGACGCGAAGCGGTACAGGTGAGGGGCGCCGCCTCACCGACCGCCTTCCCCAGGGCAAAGGCTTGGGCCTTCGGCAGGTGGCTTCCCCGTGGGGTACCTGGAGGCCAGGCTGCTGACACAAAGCTGTTCTCTCGTAGTAATGTTTGACAGAAAAAAATCAGGCTGGTGCTTGATTATCACCTCCCCTTCCCCCACGCCGCAGCTGTGCTGGTGATGGCTTGGGTGCTGTCGCTGAAACACAGAATGGACCGAAGTCCACACGCAAGTATTGACTTGTCAGTCAGGACCACTCGATTCAGTCAGTGCAGGACATACTGCATGCTTTTCCCTAAAACTTGCGAATTTTTTTCTGTGTGGAAAATGAAAACTACTTGTCATTAATAAAGGCTTTCTTGTAATATTTAGGCATAGTAGTAATAAAAGAAAAATGAGGTGCAGCTAGCCTTTTATTGAGTCCAGACATTAACATTTAGTGTTACTGTCTTAGAATTTGAAGCAGTTTTGTGCCTCCTGCGGACGAAGGCAGTAACCCAGCTGAGCTGTTCCCTGGGCTGGGTTTTGCCCCCACGCATCCAGCGCACCCCTGTGCCTCCTCACTGGTACTGGTTTGTTGAGTAAGCCTCATCACTGGTGGCCTGAAGTTTGCGAGTAAATGGACTGGTGGTAATATCTGCCTTTTTGCTCTTTGGGGAACTGCTGAGGGAAAGGAAATAGCTGGATACTTGCCCTTCTGTAAAATACTCCCTTCTGAAAGAAAAATTTAGAAATAGGGTCTCTCTTGTGCTGATCACTAGAAGGGACAGTTTTTATTGAGGACACTGAACGGGGGAGGACATTTTGTAGTGTGCTAGTATTGAAAATGGGTTTTACACTGATGAACCTGATTTCGTTTAGGTGGTGCTGTGTCACATCCCAGGTGTAGGCAGTTAGTGCAGGGCTAATGAAGCTCACTCTGCTTACTTTGGAGTTACAGCAAGGTTATGTCTGGCAATATTATGAACTGAGTGGAAATTGCTGAACTGCTTCCACATCTAATCTGTCCATGGAAATAACATAGTCTTTGGTATGGTATTTTGTAAATTATCAGATAAACCTTTGATCTCAGTTAATTCTGTGTGGAGGAAAGCCCTAGGTGTCCACATCTGGACATAATTCATATGTAAACTGACTAACCCCCCCATTGATAGGTCAGATTTGGCTGTAGTTTGTTTTTCAGGAGCCCCTTATGTTTTGTGATCTAGCTTCCTCTTCTGACTATGTAGGAGCTCTAAGCTTTCACTAGTACAGTCAAAACCAAAAAATGTTGGGATTGATGGTTGATTTCTTTTAACGTAAATTATTGCAGTGAGAGGCAATACAGTAATTTTCTGGAAAAATATGAATGTTTAAATCTAGGCACAGATAAATTAGGGTTAAATAGCTACTTTGGATATATTTTAGGACTTCATTGGATTAAAATAATGGAGCAAAGAAATTGCATCATTGTCTCATTTAACTTAAATTATTATTTGCTTGGACCTAAAGACACTATTCACTGGGCACACACAAAATAAAGAACAATTTATTATAGACTCACCAAGAGTGAGTGAAGAAAATAAAAAGATAGGTAGAGGGAGGTGAAATATTTAAGGCTCACTCTTGAACAGATAATGGACTCCTAGTGTCATTCACTGTGTGGTAATAGGTCAAGCTCCTTCTCTGCCTAGGTTAGACAGAGTTTCTTATGTTCTTTTCCCAAGGGAATTGGAGGATATTGAGGGACAATGATTAGTAGTCTGGAGAAATCTATTTATGAATAAAGATTGAAAACTAAATATGTACAACTCAGCTAAATGATGAAGTAGAGCACTTCCTCTTAGGTCTAATATGGCAGTACTCATTGCCATTGCATTTGTATTGTGGTTTGATTGTTCTGCATGATGTGTCATGTGACATGCTATGTTGTACTGTGTTTACTCAGAGTAAATTTAATCCTTACCTGTAGTTAGAAGTTAATAGAATGACATCTTCAGAGTTCTGCCAGATGTCATTACAAAAGCGAAGACATCTTTTGAAGTTAAAGTTTTTTCTATTAGAAAATCAGAATTATGGTTCATTTTGAAGCAAACTCCACAGAAGCACCTCAGAAGGTGTTAATGAAACAAGACAGAAGTTTGGCGAGCTGAAGATATTCACTAAAGAAACTGTAAAGGGCTTTTTTTTAAGTTTCACTATATGAAGAGAGGTTTAAGAGTGTAAATTTTAAAATAAATGTTAAATCACTTTTCTTGTTGCATTTACATTATGGTTAGGAATACTGGAAATATCAAATCTGGCAGGGTTTGACTGGAAGATCTATTTGACTTCAGAACATACGTGAGTCTTTTCTGTTCACAGCTGAGATGCTGTGAGGCAACGTCAGAACTGTAATGGAAAGCTGGCCTGCATGAGGAAGTTAGTGTATGCACTTTGCCTGGATTTATGTCTAGTTTACTTCAGTTTAGCTTCTCATGGTTAAGTGACTGGCACATGTGAAAGATATTCACATACTACACTCACTCCTGTTTAACGAAGACTGATGTTACACTAATTCAATTGAATGACTTTCTGTAAGCCTCATAGACTCCTCTGGTTTACAGCTTCCTAACATTCAGTCTCTTTGGGTACCATAGTCCCCGTAGAGCAGTTATGGTAAGAAAGACCTCAACTTCTGTGAATTAAAAAAAGTTAGTACTTAGCCTGTTCTGCATATTAGTCCTAAATGTATGCATAAGAAGAGGCTCAGTGTTTTGCAGGAAATGTTGGGAGTCCTTTTTTCCTGTTAAAAGTAAATTGGAGTTGCAGTCTCTCACAGCATTTAAGGATCAAACACTTACATGTCTTTTTATTCCATTTCTTCTTCCTGAGTTTTTCCATGTAAAAAAGATCTAACATGGTTATATTGCCTTATTCTGTTACTGTCTGTCTACTTCTAGCACTTACAGGAGGTTGATGAGGTTCATTGCTGTTCCGTCTATCCAGTAATAAGCACTTTCAATACCGCTCCATGTACGGTGTGAATCTTTGTTTAAATAGTATTCTCCTTTCATAGGAATATTGTCTTGAAACTGATCACTTAATGTAGTTCTAATTCTTTAAAACTAACAGAGTACCAGCTAGCAAAGCCCTCTGATGCAAACAGTTGGGAGCTACCACTAGGAAGCCTTGCTAGACCTGGGCATCTGATGAGAAAGTTTTTCTGGGGGGAGTTCTGTCTAAATGACTGGGACAAAGTCATGCCTGTCCTGCTTGGCTTAGTAGCTTGGGCTATTGAATCAAAGGTCCCCATATCTTTCCCGTCACAATAAACCTACCTGTCTATCATTCTGTCACTTATGGCACCTTTCTGGTAAAATTTTTGAGTTTTTCTCCAGTCCTCTCACAATTTAACTGGCATAGATAGTCTCCAAAGTGTATTCATTCAAGAAAAGAGTGTTCTTTTGGAATCTCAAAGGGCTGTTTATAATTAAAATAGGTGGTTAAAAATTACTGATTTCTTGGCCATAGTTTCCTGGGTTTAGGCAGACTTTTGGTAGCAGCTATATGAATGTGAAAAGGGATTCATTATTTTTCATATCTTTGGGCTTGAATATTCACAGTTGCATTCTGCATTCTTTATGAATTTCCATTTTATAAAATATTTAAAGTTGGCCCTTCAGTAGAAGAGTCCTACTGACGCAGAAATAGCTAACCAATTGCTTTCTTAACATTTACAGAAAGTGCAAAGAAATTAAAACATGAGCTTAAAAAAAGTAACATTCATGTTTATACCAGATTGAAGGATTTTTGGCAGAACTATTACCCTGCTTATCATATGAACTTGGTTGTCCAATTGAAAGGTAATACCAAGTATAAACTTTGTATGATCCTCTTAAGTACTGTCCGGTTTGACTTCAAGTTCAGAGGTTTTTTTTGTGAGAGAATGACTCTACTGTAACATATTTTATGATGAATGCATGTTATGGGTGAGATATGTTTTTTGCTGTGTGTGTATTAGTTTTTTGTCTTGTTAAAATAAATGCAATGTTTGATGGCATTACAATAGATAGCGTATTGCTACCACAGTGGTGTTTGGGTTATCTTGACACATTTACAATCAAAAGGCATGCCACGCTTGAGTGCATTGGCTTAAGGTTGTATCTGTGAAGGACAGAAATGTGTAGATTGTAGTTCTTTTCATTCTGCTTAAAAGCATATACAAACAGTAATTGTTCTGTGTCTGAAGAAAATCTCTATAAATACACATTTTTAGCATTACTATTTTAGATATGATAGAAGGACTGTAATATAACAATGTGGATATCAAATCTTGATACTGATACTGATTTATAAGGTTTTGGGGTTGGTTTTTTTTGTTGTTTTAAGAAGAGCAAAATTTACAT